ATTATTTTCATAGTTCTAATAGTCCAAGGCCTAGTTACCTGACTAATGCTCAGAAACACAAAACCCACTTTTTGAGAGGAGCCAATTCTCTGTTTAAGAAGTTATCCAGCTGATGAAAATCTAATTATGGCATAAATCAATCACTTTACAGCATCCTTTCATCCTGGCAAGGCATATTTTATACCAGAGACTTATTTACAAAGATAACCAGAACAAGTTGGTTCAAATAGGCTAGTGCTGTGTCGTTAAATCCCATGCTTCTATATCGATGTTAACAATTCCACAATTAAGTATAACATTTTCAGTGACTAAGAAATACAAATGACTTGAAAAGCTTTTCTAGATGCAATGATAATAGCTTTTAACATATGGCTATGTTAACTTGTAGAGAGCAGAGAGTGCACTAGAAAACACTGCGGTTCTAAGATCCTTAACTCTGTAGAGTCACGCACGTTACTGACATGCCGGTTATAAAAGCTCATCTTCAACAACAATTATGACTTATTCAAGAACTTTCAAAAGCTTGAACACACAACACAGATGGTCAATTGTCAGCGTTATCTGTTATTTTGTTTATTTCATCCTTCTAGTTAACACCTGGCCTTGTTAGACTGATTGTTCTGAAAAAGACAGCTGACAGACACAAAAACCCCTTAGGGCATTAGGAACTTCAATGTGATTTGCATACATATATAAGTCAAACATAGACAGATTCTACATTTTGAACCCCTTAAGGTAAAACAATTACCCAGTAATGAGATCTAAATTAGCTTTCAATCTAGGTAATGAATGACTTGAAAGTCTACAGATTAAAATGTACACATGAATAAAGCATCCATATTCTTATTTATCCTAATACAGTAATATATATATATATATATATATATATATATATATATATATATATATATATATATATATATATCAAGACAAATGCTGACTAGTTTTGAAAAATGAGTAGCTGGGATGAGGACACACTGTGTCAGTTGTTTATTATGAGGAGAGAAGATGGTAGACTTAATCACTCTTCTGTCACTGAAAGACAGAGGAAAGTAAGAATGTTATTTATTTTTCTGATATACATTTTTTGAAGATATAAGTGTGCTTACGAAAAAAATAAATAAACTGATAATCAAATATTGAATTGTACTTAGTCCTTATCATCCTAAAACAAAATATTATTTCAAATCGTAGTGAAAGAAACTGTACCTTTCAAAAACAAAATGGTTGTACATGTTAATAGATAGATAAGAATTTAAAAAAAGTTGCAAAATATATTTTTATGATGAAAAATGTGAATTTACAAACTAAAAAGAAGCACAGGAAGAGCTTTGATCAAAACAGACAAACTCACAGCTGTCTAACAGCCATTCTAAGTTAATGCCACTATTTAATACAGGATCCCCTTATCCCGTTGGAGGGCCGGGCTGCCTACACATCAAGATAAAAACATGAAGGCGATTTTGTTTACAAAAAAATCCTTTCATAGTTTGATACATTCAGGTAAGAGTGAGTTATGGTTAGGCCTACTGTAAACTATACACATTTATTTTGCATTAAAACCACCTAAATATTCTTATTGCCTTAGATGGTCTGTGATGATGTTTGCCTATTCCAAACCTGTCCCTCCCTTCTTAAATAGGCTTATTTTTCTAAAGACCAGTTCATCTTATGTGATTTCTGGGGATAGTGGACCTCTCCTGCAGGGGCGGATTAAGAAATTTTGGCCCCCTGGGCCTGGGCCCGGTAGGCCCGGTCATTAATCCACCTATGCTCTCCTGATACCAGTCACATGAACCTTTTTAACATGCAAGAAAAGAAAGAGAACGAAAGATCTATGCAGACAGACTCTAAAACCTGAGAAGTTAACCTTCCTTCCTTCAAATAATCTTGAAATCCGCCCTGAAAAATGTAAGTAGGACTGAGTATGACTAAACGTTTTTTTTTCATTTTAGGATATACTTATTTAGTGTACTGAAGACTTTGAAAGGCTCCTATGTAATGAGGCCTGGTGGTTGTTGATTTCCACAATGGCAAATATTAATATCTCCAAGCAAATTGCAATCCTTTTTGTAAATTTGAAAGTGGAACAAAACCATCAACGTCCCTGGGTTAATAAAATAAATACAGTATGGGTAATATCACCTAGCCTGACGTAGTCCTACTCAATTGTAGTCAGAATATGAGTCTGATACTGCTCCATAGAGCTGTGATTATGGTGCGTGTTTCGGACGAACCAGGAAAAAAAATGCCTCTGCACTCAATTGGATAGACCTACAACTAATAAGAGCAACGGAGTGCATGACGTATGTTAAGCGACGCATAGTTGTTGTCAACAAAAATCAAAGCGTGCAGTTGCACGCCTAGAATAACAAGATGAGCCTTGATCACGTTTCTCTGTTCCTCTTTTAAAATTAATTTGCTGTCGATATCTTCTAGAACAGACCTAATAGCAGAATCTACACACCTCAACTCTCCAGCGGCAGCCATTGTTGTTGTCACCTAAGCGCGCTTTGGTGACATGGTTGACTACGTTACTGTTGATCATCTGTCCATCATCATATAAAGCCCGCCCTGACAATTTGATTGGCCCGCCAGATATTGTGCGACCATACTCGCGCTACTACTGAGCAATGCCAGACCGAACTTCCCGACCTCAAACGTTGTGGGCGGGACTAAGTTCGGAATGGCACCCAGGCTAAATATCATCACCTCCTCCAGGAACTACGTCTGGATAACGGTTGTTTGCAGTGGTACTTCTGCCTATGTGGTGTCCTGCATTGGATGATAAATCACCAGGACAACAGAAGGTCAGGTGAGATGGCATTCTGGAGCTCAGAAAGGAGCAGTGGGAAATCAGTGCGAGAACACCAGCATAGAAAAAAACTGAACCAGGACCAGGCTGCCAGTCGTGTCATCATCTTGAACTATGGAACCACAGCAGACGATCAGAGGATTCATCCATGGAATCAGTGCACTAGATTAGGGAGAGGCTAAAGCTGGCTTCACGCTAGCTATAGAAGTTATTTGCGATGATCCAAAGCTACTGAGGGGTACAGCAGCAGATTCGATAAGTCTACTGGATAACCAGAATACTGAAGGCGAACTAAAGACTACAGCTGCTTGGGAGGAGGACAGTGCAACATCAGAGAAGCCAGCCATGGAGGTAAAGCTATGAGAGGTTACTGTAGCGAGCCTATTAGTGTATTCTCATTATGAGTTCGTATGAAATCGTACGAAAAGTTATGCACTGTAATTTCGTACATTTTGAACGTTTTTTTCGTCGCATGCGCATCTGACGCACCATTCACCAATATAGAATATAAATTACAATTAGCCCTAACCCTGACCCTACACCTAACCCTAAGATATAAAACAGCAAGCAACGTAGTTAGAGAAATGAATAAGTGATGATTGCACTGTTTTTCACAGTTTTACGTCCATCCGCGGATCTGCTTTTTTTTTTCTGTCTGCCAGCGCATGCGCACTGATGTGGTTTTTTGAGGAAAAACGTCCAAAACGTACGAGATAGCGTGCATAACTTTTCATACGATTTCATACGAACTGATAATGAGAATTTGTTGAGCCTATAGGGAAACTACAGGACATGAAAGGAGTACAGCGATCAACGACGCTTGCCCAGGCAGACACTGGCGGAACTGGAGAGAGAAAAGAAGATGCTGGAGATAAGAACTTTTTTTAGAGCTACATTCAATCCTCTTAAGAGCATTACAACTTCATCCTTTGTCAACATTATTTTCTCTATCATTCACATTTAATGAAAGAAAAAGCTTGTCTCTTCTGCTTCTCTGTAGCTCACAGCCACATCTAGTGCCTGACTGGATTTCGCAATGCGAATGTAAGCAAAAGATTTTTCAACTTTATTCTCAGGCCATACAGCTATCAGATCTGACTTCATCAAAATCGTGCAGTTCACCTCCCTATATACGCCACCATTGCCTCACTCAGCTTCGTTTTGCTTTGCTCCAGATCCGCCGTCCTACATAGAGTGAACATACATTTAAAACACCTAATATCTTTTCCCCTGATCTGGGTCAAATCAGGGGATAAAAAAACAGATCACACATAAGTTATTGAATGTTGAATAAATCTCATTCATTGTAACATCAACTTCACTCATACTGTTTTCTGATCACATTTATTGCCAAAAACTTAGCCAATCAGACCACACCACATGTAAACACTCAACTTTTATGTATGGCTCAACTTAAATACTATGAGTTATCAAACTTTTTTTAATGCAGAAGTTCACAATACTTGTATAGGGTGAGTATCATCATCAAGCTAAAAAAAATTGAGTTCTATTTACTTAAAGTATTTTTTATTATTGTGCTTTACAGTGTAAGTATTCCATCCCAAGTCTCCTACATAAAGTAAATATTAATTTCTTTACAATATTTACTTATTCTGTTAGTTTACTATAGCTCAGTTATTCATTGGACAAAATGACCAGTAACTTCCTAAATTATGACAATTTTCAGTTACAGTTAATAGGTTAGGAAATATGTGTTTTAGGTCGCTATTGTTTGCTACATTTCTAAATATGTGAACAACCTCATGGTCTTTTGAAGTCAGCTGCTGACACTGACACACACATGGCTTTATATAGCTGCACTTGTTTAGCCTGGCTTGGTCTTTGTTAAACAGACAAAAACAGGATGTACTTCTCACGCAAGGTAATGCCTGGCTTTATCTCCTACCCTGAATTTCTAAATGCTGCTTTTGTGACACAGACCTGAGGGAACAGAAATCAATGACATATATACAACTGAGATGAACTACACAACAGATGGTAGAGGTGAACAGAAAATACAACCAGGTTCAAATTATGACATAATAATATTACATCAGTTTTACTCCCAAGCTAGACAACGCAAATTTCAAACTTCTGGAAAATATTTATGAACTATATATATATATATACAAATTCTAAAGACTCCATTTTGTTATATATTTTACTAATCTGCAATGAAGGAAATATGTTTGCAAGTTCTTTCAGGAACTTTGCTGTTGGAACAGTTTGCTTCCATAGAACATACTGTTCTTATCATTGTGGTGACTGGGGTCACCATTTATAAAGGGGAAAAAATGTGTAGTTTTATTTATATACAAAAATATGCCTCTAAATAAATCGAGATTCATATCAAATGTTTGGATGGTTATTTTCCAACCAAAAAAACATATGAAAGAAAAAAACAGATGTCACAGGAGTGGAAGACAACACCTGGCCAATACATGCTCCTTATTTATATTTTATGGAACTGGCAATCCTGGTTAGTTGCTGTGAGTTACAATGTAACAACTTCTTGATTAAAATACTCTTGTCCAGATTGCATTTACTGTAAATCCTTCTGCCCAAATAAAAAAAAGCCCTTTTTCCAGAAGACAATATTCTCTGATTGTGTAATGCTTCCCTCTTGTGGAGAAAACAAATTACTACATTAAGCTCATTCATTTTGCTTTCTTTTGATGTCAGAGAGTTCTGCATCACTCAGCATCATCTCTTGGGCCAGATCAGGTCTGCCTATTTTGGTTAGGCTCTGGGCGAGCTGGGAGGTCTTGGGGTGGCATTTGGCAGCAGGCAGAGCTCGTCTCCACATGGCCAAAATGTGGAAGGCCTGATCTGATGGGCTGTCCCTGAAGCGGAGCTTTGCCAGCTGGGCTGAACTACGACTGAGATGCAGGGAGGATACCAGCCGTGCAGTTTCCTCTTGAGTCAGCTCCCCAGATAGCCAGAGGAGAAGGGAGTCAGAAAGAGGCTCTATTGGGTAAAAACAACAACAATGAAGGCCATTAATAAATATACATAAACAGTACCTTTAAACCTTTAACCTTTTTCGCAATATTTTAATCTTGAAACCACAAAAGTATGTATGTTATTGAGATTTCATGCAAAAGGCCAACACAAAGCAGTGTTTGCCTGGTTACCAATTTTTAATGCCACATGTTCGGATAAAATAAAAATTGTCTGACTTAATTTATAAATGTAGCAGATAAAAGCAATAATACCAGTGTCTAAGCAACAGCTTAAGTCACCCACCTGCCTCCTCACATGTCTTCACTCTGGTGGAAATCGGCCGATGAATGAGCCTCACTTTCTGGGATAACACAAATTTAAGCTGTTAAAAAATCTTGAAATTGTTTCTGCTCAAGTAAAAATGATTAGTCGATATGACCTTTGCACCTTTGGTAAACTCAGAGGCAGTTTACAAACTGGGTTTCCCAGAAGCTCTGCGTCCTTCAGAACAGCTTTGTCTCCTCTCCACTCCAGCTCAGCTCTGCTGACTCTATAGAGCAGGGCTGTACCCTTATAGCAAGGCGAGCTGTAGTTTCCAAATGGGTCAACTTCCCTTAGACGCACAAATAGCTCATTCCTTCGCTGATAGTGAAAGGTCAGCCGCTCATGTGGGTCCTCACTTGGGTTAGTCTGTGTCGAAGCTGCAGAATACAGGTATGCCAAACAACATGGCAAGTATTATCTAAGGGTTTTGAAACTTTCAGGTTTTACTTTAAAATATTGTACGATGAAGCAAATGTTTTCTCTTGATCTTGTGTTACCAAAAACAGCAGCATATGTTTATTATTTGTTTAGCTACATTTGTTTCAAGACATCCCCTGTGAACTGTAAAGGCCTTCAATGTTCCGTTCATTAGTTCACACATTTATAAATAGACCTTGTTAAGCTGAGCCTTGTTTTAGTTCCGCTTTTCTTATATTTTATTGCCTGTTTGCCTCTAAGTTGTAGCTCTTTTGTCTCGAACTTCCTTCTTCAGCCATTGTACTTTTGCTACTAAGGCCCCTTCGCTGCTTTCACTTCCTGTATGTGTTTGAGTTACTGAAGGATAAAATGCCCAGACACTGACTATGTCCAGTCATAATAAAACCTAAGAATGTTGAAGCATCACTGTGTAACTTTTAGCCACTAGAGCTACTACAACTGTAACTTGCAGGTTTGGCCACTGGTAAAACTGCACTGTCACAAAATTAAACAGTATCCAACAGCATTTTGGAATCTGATTGCATGGACTTATGGATTGCAGTCATGTAGTTAAAAATAAGACTAAATTCACCCATGTATATTAAATCTTTCATTAGAAAACCGAAAACTGGTCTGATTAGCTTAGTTAGGTCTCATGTTTATGGGGAGTTAAGACTGCTGGAACTCTGTGCTCTGGGTCACATGGCTAATTTAGTGCCAGATCTCCAGTTATCCTTAATTCAGCCCGTACTAAATATGGGGAAAAAAAAAAAAAATGTAATACATCTGAAATGAAGCTAATACTTCAGTCAATAATTATACAGTGTTTCTCTAAATTAAGAGAACTATATTTTGAACAACTTGATCAAAAGATTACCAAGTTCTTAGATGTCTGTTATCTAAATGCTTAAACCTTATTTTCGATTCATTGATTAATCAAGTGCATTTGATTAGCAGCGCTTGGTTGCTAAGGTCTTATCTTAAAGGAAAAGTCCGGTCAGCAAGCAATAATCATTGGATCATTATTTATACCTAAAAATGAATATGTCCGCAGTTATTTAAGGAATTTAGCATTAATCAGTAAATATATAAAAATAATAATGTTGGTCGCAATCACTGAGTGTGGGAGTGGCCATTTATGCCCAAATATAATGACACCTCCCTCCCCTCCTGACATCTTCCGGCAGTGATGTAATCATCTAACATGCATGGCAGTTGGATATTGCAATACATCGGGTAAAACTGAAAAAAAAATTGTTATTTCACCTTTACGATTCAAATTTTTTCAAGATTCGTCGTTCAATCGCCAACTTAAAGAGGGAGGATTTGCCATCAAACTTCTGGCCAGAAAGAAAAAAAAATGTCATGTGTAGCTACTCTTTCGAAGAATGTTTTCAAGATGACTTGGATAAGAGCATTGTGACAAATAACAGATTATTGGGCACAACAGCCGATACCGCACTGTGACGTCACAAACCGATAGGTGGCAGTAGTGTTTTTTGACAAACATGGATGCCTCCAGTATAGCCCATTCAAATGAAAATTACTCTTAATTAAAAAACACTCATCATTTATTGAACAGTATGTAGTGATTTTTTATTAGTGAGTTTGAATTATGAATATGACCGGACTTTTTCTTTAAAGTTTTAGAAACACAAATGGTGGTGGTTTTCTTCTCTGTTTAATAAATAATGACTATGAAGGCTGGACACTTGACAGTTTGGGACATATTTTTGCATAAGACAGCATAAATTAACATGACTTGATAGTTAAGATGGGATTATACTCAAAGTCATATCTTTGATTGAAATAAAGAACCTCTGTACTAGATAAACTGGTGCCAAAACACTGACTAACAAGATGAGACCTGAAACAGAGTTTAAGAGATAGTTTGGTGAGAACATGTACCTACACTGGAGGGGGAAAAAAGGAGGATATCCTTTCAAGAAAAGAAAATGGAATGGGTTTATCCAGCACTCAGAAAATTAAACAGCATATGCCAGCATGCCCAAGTCTGGCTGCTCAAATTCAGCCTAGAGGTAGAGTCTCCAAACACCCAAGGACACTAGTATGAACCTAAGGCTCTCCTTCTATCATTGAAATAAAAGTGAGTGTCTGTGAAATTCAAAAGACACTATATAAAAAAGACATTTCCATTAGAGGTGTGCGAGGGTGAGGGAACCTTTGCTCCTTCAGAAAGAAGAGGACTTCTTCAGTAATATTCCTCTGATAGATATGACTAAAATGCTATTTGGTGGCTGTCAGAATTCTGTGTCCCATGCTCTGCTGATTCTCTTCCACTGTTGGCTGTTGTTGACAGGTGGGTGTGCCCCGTACCTGCGGATTGTTGGGGCCACTCTGGCTGGAGCTTCAAAGCAGTTTTCAATCAGCTGAAGGATGCCAGAATGTTAGGCCACTGTGCAGTCAACAGTTTCTCGTTTCTGTGAGTTTAACATTTTGGATTCCTATAGTTCTAACTCTGTTCTCCTGTCTCTCTCAGTTTGCCTTGCTTTGGATTTCTCACCCATTGTGACCCTGTGTGCTGCAGACTGGCTTCTGAATCCCAGCTGCTCAAATTTTGCTCTGGCGTTCCCCTCAAGCACCCTTGGTGTTAATAAGCCGGACAATTGACCCCCTTTCCTGGATTCACTCTGGTTCCTTCAGCTGCTCCTCAAACCTTTCTCCACTGCTCCGCTCGGGCTCCCACCTATGTTCCATTCTCTAGCTCACCTGTCACTCAGCCATCTCCCCCCTCTTCAGAAAGTAGTGAGCCGCAGAATCCCTTCTTCCACTCACCCCTCCCTGGATAGGTTATCCATACCTGGCAGTAAGCAAAGTAGCATCAGCGCAAATTTCCCTAACTCAACTATTAGTAATCGGTTTCCTCTTTTCTCCCACTGTGCTCCTAATTCTGACGTTCCAAACCTTGCCTACAACTCACGTAGTGAGCTATTCATATCTGTGTATAGCCTAAATAAGCATCTTTAACTGCTCCTTTAACTGCTCCTTGTCTGCACATGGGCCAAACACCTTAAAACCATCACAGTGAAATTCCTTTCAGCCAATGGATGAAATACTAGCTATAATGGTGTAGAGCTTCCTGCTACTTCTTCAGCTAGAAAACACAGACTTGTGATAAGTTTTGTTAAGTAAGAAAAGAGGTCTCACACTTCTCATTTAAGGGCTTTCAAACCAATTTCTTTTCCACAGGCTGGTAAGAAAGAAAAGAAATTGATATGCAGAAAAACACCCGGTGTCTTTCTGCATGGAGTTTGCATGTTCTCCCTGTGTATGCGTGGGCTCTCTCCGGGTAGTCCGGCTTTCGCCAAGAGTCTACAAACAATACTTTAATAGGCTTCTCTAAATTGTCTTAAGGTGTGAGTGAGTATGTGCATGGTTGTGTGTCTTTATGTGTCTCAGTGTTGCCCTGCAACCAGGCGACCTGTCCAGGGTGTACCACGTCTCTCACCCGTAGACGCCCGAGGATAGGCCCCAGCCCCACTGTGACCCTGAAAAGGACTAAGGGGGAGAAGATGGATGGATGGATGGATGGATGGATGGATGGATGGATGGATGGATGGATGGATGGATGGATGGATGGATGGATGGATGGATGGAT